TTTTCAAAAATCTGAAATTTGGACAAAATTTTTCATGAACATTTTCCACCATATTTTGATCATAAGGTCATATGATGGGGAGCATGTGACTAAAAACCAGGCCTCCTAGGATAAAAGAGTAGTCTGTGGTCAAAAGGAGGGCAGATCTGAGAGAGACTCTAGGAAGATCAGTAGTCCATCAGAAGTCAATACTCCATCAAGAATGTCTGGGCCTGTCAGTGGTGCTGGAACTTGAGGGTGCTGCCGCACGCCCTGGCTTGAAGTAGTAATAACAAACACCAAATACATGGTTTCCATCATCACTACACTATAAAAATTGTTCCAGCACCCCTGGGGCCAGTCAAGAAAGCACCGGTGAGGAAGCCAGGCATGGAGTGTATAGAGGCCCTTGGAGGGAAAGAGAGGGAAATTTAGGCTGCAGGGCAGACGGGGCTGGAAACCCATAGTAGAATGTGTAGGTGGATTCCCTATATATTGCCACACCATGAGGTGGTGCAATAACCCCTGGAGAAGGAACTGAATAGATCCCAGCATGGCTGAAGACAAGGTGAAAGAGGTGTGACAAAGTTCCTCCTCTACCTTGGTGGGTCCTGCGCTTATTGGCGGATTTTCTTGCCTCAAAGATTCACCATGTGGGTTGGGGAACAGCCCAGAGACCTTCTCCTCTGGAAGAACCCACAGTCCAGGTCAATTGGGAGGTTTGGGGGGAACTCGGGCCCGCCCTCTACTCCAGGTTCCAGCCCAGGGCCCTGTGGACTGCAGCTGTCTATAGTGCCTCCTGTAACAGCTGCATGACAGCTACAGCTCCCTGGGCTACTTCCCCATGGCCTCCTCCAAACACCTTCCTTATTCTCACCACAGGACCTTCCTCCTGGTGTCTGATAACACTTGTGCTCTTCAGTCCTCCAGCAGCATACTCTCAGCTCCTTGCGCCTCTTGCTCCCAGCTCCTCACACTCACATCACAAACTGAAGTGAGCTCCTTTTTAAAGCCCAGGTGCCCTGATTAGCCTGCCTTAATTGATTCTAGCAGCTTCTTCTTAATTGGCTCCAGGTGTCCTAATTAGCCTGCCTGCCTTAACTGGTTCTAGCAGGTTCCTGATTACTCTAGTGCAGCCCCTGCTCTGGTCACTCAGGGAACAGAAAACTACTCATCCAGTGACCAGTATATTTGCTCTCTACCAGACTCCTGTACCCCACTGGTCTGGGTCTGTCACAGAGGACAGACCTTCAGAGGGAGGGTTGTACCCTGTAGAAGATCCTGGGGTAGAAAATTTGGTTTGGAGTTTATATTGGACTTAAACCCCTGGAAGGGGTGGACATTTGGACTTAACTGGAGGGCTAAATAATTGCAAGGACCTGACAGCATTGGGAGCTGGTGAATGACTGACACTAAGGGAAAACTGAGGCAGAGAAAGGGTCTGATGCGTGGTTTAGAGAGCTCCTGCTGCACAGTTCCTATCCAGCAACATACCTGACCCCACACTTATAACCCATTTACTTCAGTAGGACTTACCATGTGCTTAAGTGCTTTGCTGATTCAGGACCTCAAAGGAAAAGTGGGAGAATATTTCCCCAACAGCATCTTGTGCCATAGTAATGGTGATGGTGATATGTATTATAAGCCCCACAGGGCTGTTTCCATAAGTTGCCTGTGCAATGACTGTCTTCCAGAAATGAAGATTTCTCCGTTTTTTCCAGCAAAGGAAAAGAGAAGAGTAGTAATTTTTAATCCTCCCCTGCCCTCTCACTTTGTGAAATGTTTACTCTTTGCTAGATTTGCATTAAAATTCTATGTAGCAGTGCCTGCAGGTGTTAGTATCTCTCAGCTACTCCTGCAGGGCCAGAGCATGTGTGCAGATGGCTGCATGTACAATTGTGTATGTGCACAGGCAGACACTGGGGCTATGTCTAAACTTAAACCTCTGCAGCTGCAGCACTGTAGCACTTCATTGTAGATACTCATTACAGTGATGGGAGGGGTTCTCCTGTTGCTGTAGTTAATCAGTTTCCCCAAGAGGCAGTATCTAGGTCAGGGGTGGGGAAACTTTTTGGCCCGAGGGCCACATCGGGGTTGCGCAACGGTATGGCAGGCCAGGTAGGGAAGGCTGTGCCTCCCCAAATAGCCTGGTCCCTGCCCCCATCTGCCCCCTCCACTCCCCGCCCCCCTCAGAACCCCCAACCCATCCAACCCCCCCTCCCCGCTCCTTGTCCCCTGACCGCCCCCCTCCCGGGACCCCTGCCCCCATCCAACCCCCCTGCTCCCTGTCCCCTGACTGCCCCGACTCCTATCCACACCCCCGCCCCCTGACAGCCCCCCCGGGACTCCCACCCCGTATCCAACTGCCCTTTGGTCCTCATCTCCTGACCACCCCCTTCTGGGACCCCCCCGCCCCAACTGCTCCCTGGGATCCCACCCCTTTATCCAACACCCCCTGCTCCCTGTCCTCTGACTGCCCTCTCAATCCCTATCCATCCCCGCCCCCTGACAGGCCCCCTGGGACTCCCACTCCCAACCCTCCCTGTTCCCCATCCCCTGACCGCTCCCCCAGAACCTCTGCCCCATCCAACCGCCCCCTCCTCCTGACTGCCCCCCCAGGACCTCCCGCTCCCTTACCCAACCCCCCCGCTCCCCACCCCCTTACCAGCAGCAGGAGCTCGCAGCCGTGACACCCGGCCAGAGCCAGCTGCGCTCCCCACACTGCCCAGCGGGAGGGGCGGGCCAGAGTGCGGTCCGCGTGGTGGCGTGGCTGTGGTGGAGGGGGGACAGTGGGGGAGGGGCCAGGGACTAGGCTCCCCGGCCGGGAGCTCAGGGGCTGGGCAGGATGGTCCTGCGGGCCGGATGTGGCCCGTGGGCCGTAGTTTGCCCACGTTTGATCTAGGTCAATAGAAGAATTCTTCCATTTACCTACTGCTGTCTATGCCAGGGGTCAGGTCAGTTTAACTATGTCACTCAGGGTTGTGGATTTTTCACACCCCTGGGCGACATAGCTGGTTGACCTAACTTTTTAGTATAGACCTGGCCTGAGTTGAAGCTCCCAACTCAGATCTTAAAATATGAATTTGTACTAATACAGTGCACTGGATGAAGGTAGTTCTGCTTCTGTGAAGTACTCTAAATATGCTTTTTAGTATTTGGCTGTCACTATGCTTGAGTCTTGCAATTCCTTAATAATCAGTTCTCTGTGACTTATCCTCAGAGGCTTCTAATACTACGATAGAAAGTAGGCTGAATTCTTGTCTAACTTGGAGCCCGACCCTGCAAACACTTATGCACATGAATAACTTTTCTCCTATGTGTAGTTAGAACTACTCACATGAGTATAGTTAAGTACATACAGAAGAATTTTAAGACGTTGTGCTCCTGTTTTTTAAAATCACTGGCTGCCTTTAAAATTCTGTTCTGATTTTAAGAGTCTTCTCATACTTACAGGCACATAACAATAGCAGCTTGGCAGATCTTTCTGATTTCCTGTTACTGTGGGAATGTCTACTCAGGAAAAGCTGTGTATGGGCTAGCCTACCTGAGCTAGCCCCAGTCCAGCTAGCATGGATAACAACAGCAGTGAAAACAGATCAGGGTGGGCTTCAGAGCAGGCTACTGAGCCAAATCCATACCCAGGGTCCATGCTGGGCTTGTACTATCCGCACTGAAGCCCATGCTGCACTGTCATCACAGCTGTTGTTATCTGTGCATATTCCACATGTGGGTACGCATGTGTTCCATACACTTGAGACCAGAGATTTCTAGCAAATAGTGTCTGTTGGTCTGCTCCTGCTCAGTTGTTGCTCTCATGCTTCGAACCAAGGGTATACGGGCAGGCGTCTCTACAGTTTCTTCTTACTGATGCCTGGCCTGAGTCAGAATCCTCTGTGTCCAAAAGTATCTTTGCACTGTCTTCGTACCTTTAAATATAATTGTATATAGTTTCTAGTGTTTTTAGTCTTCTGATTAGTTAGTGAACTGGGAGTACTCATGGCCAACCCACTATACATCACATTTCATAAGGAGAAGGTTTTCCTTTGCCTCCACTCAAAATTCATCCCTAAGGTAATTTCTGAGTTTCACGTAGATCAATCTATTTATTTAATTATATTCTTCCCTTAACCTCATGCTTCCAATGAGGACAGGAAACTTCACCCTCTGGACGTCAGATGAGCGTTAGCGTTATACCTGCAAAAAACTAAACCGATTAGGAAAATGCCTACAATATTTGTTGCTATAGCAGAGCAATTGCAGCACAAGCGTGATCTGCTCAGAGGCTCTCTAAGTGGATCTCCAGCTATATCACTTTTTGTTATCAGTTGGCGTGTCTACTTTTCCCAGATGTGCTGAGGGCACATTCCAGTAGAGCACAGGCAACTTCAATAGCCTTACTTCAAGAAGTTCCTATATTGGAGCTCCAGCCAGACCTTCACCAAGCATTATGCCTTAGCCCAGGCCTCTTCTGCAGATGCAGCTGTTGGGACAGCAGCATTGCATAGACCTATACCAACTGCGCCTCACTCCCCTCTCCTGTTTGAATACTCTTTACTAGTCACCCACATGTGGAACACACACAGGGACCAGCATTCGAAGAAGAAATGGAGGTTACTTACTTGTAACTAGAGGGTCTTGGAGATGTGTGGTCCCTAACTGTATTTTACTACCTACCTTTGTTCCCATCTCTTTTGGATCCTCTCTGATTCATGGTAAGAGGAGGAACTGGAGAGCCTTTGGTCAATACCACACCTTACACCCTTGCTTTGAAGCATGAGGGGAACAACTGTACAGGTGTGGACCAACAGACTCTACTTGCTCGAAAACTCTGGTTTCAGGCACATGGGGTGCATGCATATCCACATGTGGAATACAGATAGAGACTACACATCTCAAAGAACCTCCAGTTACAGGTCTGTACATTCCATTTATCACCCCATAATATTTCTTTTCATGCCTGATAATGTAATAAATCCCCACTTATGCCTGAAAGACTTAGACTTTAATTTTTTTCCTTTTAGGATTCTAGAGTGTAAACCTCATAAGGACATAAACTATCATCTCAGAGGGCCGTGTGCCAATCAGACGAGTCCTGGAGGAGATTTTGCAAGGGTTTACCATGTGACTAAGGGTATTCACTGCATGTCAGATGGTAAGTACAGAAGTTAATGGTTCATTGCATCACAATGACACTACAATACTGGAGGGAAAAAAATTTCGACAATATTCTTTTTGAGAGTTTGTCCTAATTTTACTGTGGAATAAAGGGGACAGGTAGACAGGAAAGGGAAGAAAATGAATGCAGGTTGTACACGTCTTCCAAAGCCCAGTTAACACAGACAGAGCCCTTGTTGCTTTTTTTCCAGTAAAGGACAATATTCATTAACAGATCATCAATCCGTGACTGGTCCCACATTTCAGGAAGTGTCTGTTCATCTTTCATATTAATGCTGGGATTTTCAAAGGTGCATAAGGGATTTAGGCACCCAGATCCCATTGAAATTGGATGGGATCTGGATGTCTAATACTCTGCGCCTCCTTTGAAAATCCCAGCCTAAATGAACTTCTGGGCATCCAGTGGGTTTTTAGACTGTTTGTCTTACTTGTTAATGATACTGTGCTGAACAGTTATTAAATGACTTAGGACCCAGTCGTTTAGGTGTTTGGCATTCTCAAGTGGCGTTGGAGTCAATGGGAGCTGAGGGTGCTCAGTGCCTCATCAGAAGTGTTTAGCACCTTGCAGGATGAGAGCCCATTGAAGTCAGTGGGCTTTGAATCAGGCCCTTAGTGTAGTAAATCTTTTTTTTTTTTTTTTAAGTATTAAATAGAAGGTTGATTTTATTTGCCGGAAATCTGATATATTTGCCTTCCTGTTGCATCATAAATATGCTTTTATACTTCATTTAATCAGCTTTTTAATAGTATTCTGTAGGCCAGGGGTCGGCAACGTTCGGCATGTGGCTCACCAGGGTAAGCACCCTAGCGGGCAGGGCCAGTTTATTTACCTGCTGACGCGGCAGGTTCGGCCGATCGTGGCCCCTACTGGCTGCGGTTCGCAGTCCCGGGCCAATGGGGGCGGCGGGAAGCCGCGGGAAGTCGCGGCCAGCACATCCCTCGGCCCGCGCTGCTTCCCGCCGCCCCCATTGGCCCGGGACGGCGAACCGCAGCGAGTGGGGGCCGCGATCAGCCGAACCTGCCGCGTCTGCAGGTAAAAAAACTGGCCCTGCCCGCTAGGGTGCTTACCCTGGCAAGCCGTGTGCCGAACGTTGCCGACCCCTGCTGTAGGCAGAGCTACCTTGTATTCAGTAATCCAGGGCTGTTTTTATGGTACAAAAGTACTTTCAACCTATGTGAATATGCAATCTGAACACAACTCCATGTTGAAAATGAAGCTTGTGGAAAAGGGGTTGATGAAATACTATACTGGAAAATGTTTGGCGGGAAAAATAATTCCCCTTATGAGAACAAGCTGGTTAGGTAAGTGGGATTATTCCACCCACATTCTGCTTATCTCATTTCAGAAGTGATCTTTTGCAGGAGGTGCTGACCTCTCTTTTTTTTACATAAGAATCCTGAGCAAGAAGAAGATCATTTCTCATGCAGATATGTCTGATCGGTCCTCACATTCTCTGCTGAGAACTGGGATCAGGTGACAGTTTGGCCAGTTGAAGATAAATGTATTCAGTGTTCATCTGAGGGCAGGAAGGAAGTATCTCATAATGTCAATTCACATCACCATGCTAAGGCCTGCGCTTTGCAGCCTTTGTGCAGTAAAGACCTGATCCAAAGCCTTTTGAAGCCAATGGAAGTCTAGGCACTAAAACCGCTCATTATTACTGTTCAACATTTATATTGTGGTAGCACCTCGAAGCGTCAAATAGGTGGAGGCCCCATTGTGCTAGGCCCCATACAAATGTATAGCAAATGGCAGTCACTGCTTTAAAGAACTTGCAGTCTAAATGGTGGCATCTTTGTTAGTTTTGCCTGAGTAAGGTTGTAGGGTTTGGTGTTGTATGTTCTAAACATCCTTAGATTATTTTGTGTTAAGTTCTGCTCACTACTCAACTCCTATAACAGACAAAATAATACTTAAAAAGCACTGTGTAAATTCATGTCTGGTTACACTGAAATCAATTGAATTGCACCAGGGATGAGTTTGGACCATTGCCTATACAAAAATCACATATTTAAAAATAAATATTACAGCTTTCCTGTATTACTTATAATACCTTAGATTATTAAAACAAAAAGATTTTAAAAAAATCAAATATACAGTCCTTTCAACCATTTATGATGTATGGTTATTTTTTTGCATTTTTCTTAGCTTGGACTATAAAATGAAACTGGCCCGTTTCATTTTTATGTTCCAGTCAGTTTCACTTTCTGCTTTTTATGCACCAGCATAATGTTGCGGGTTTGGGGCTCATAACACTGCATAAGGAATAGTTAAATGAAAATAAGTCTTAATTTCATGAAAACCCTTCTGTTTATATGAGGCTTTGTTTCCCCCTCCATTTTTACTTAAAATAATTTAATTTTTGATCCTGAACTAAGAAGAGAAGTGCCCCATATTTGGATTCTGTTTGTCCTAATTAATTTTTCTACTCACTGTGGACCAGATTGTGACCCCTTACTCCCATTGGTGATCACACAGATAGTCCTATTGACCTTAGTGGAATTTCTTGGATGAGTAACAGCATACAGTGAGTAAGGGTTTGTCAATCTGGCCCTATGTGCTTACACTATTTCTGTTTCAGAAATAAAATATAGCAAAACACACTTTGGAAAGAATGCTTGCAGTTTGGGGGAGCAAAGAGGAAGGAAGAAAGATCATTTTTATTACTCTGTAGTTTGATGAATACAAATACAGGGACTGTTCATTTAAAAATGAGCTTTCATTACATGGACATTCCATGATTTCATTATGGCAATTGTAAACAAGAGTCAGCATTTGTAATGAATGTGCCATTCAAAAAGACAGGTTCATGCTTGTGAAATGTATTTGCATAGTAACGTATCAGTGGAGTTTGGCTAACCATATGTTTGCATATGGAAGTCAAATAGAACCATGGAAAAATCTACTTTTTCACCATGAAGAAGAAAATCAACCTATTTTTATGCAAGATTTGCACTTCGTCGTCATCGTTGTCGTCTTCTTCTTTTTTTTTTTTGTAAAAACCAATTATGAAGGAGCAGCATCCATAGCATACTGTGTAATACTAGTGGAGGTTCTAATGAGAACAAAAATGAGCATCGGGACTCGAAAGGAGTAACTCCTGTTGGCAAGCTTAATATTTGTAACATGAGGATGACACACCAACAGTGAACATTCTGCATTTGTCAAGATTTTGAAGCAGAAGTGGTGGCACAGTGGTTAGTGCATGAATCTTAGGCTCCTGTGTGGGAATGAGAGCCTCCCCTGTGGTATATTGGTGAAAAGAGTTGGAGAGATTATGAAGTACTCCCTCCTTTCTATGCACAGGCCCTTTCAGAGAACAGTAAACGATAAGGGAATTGACTCGGTTTTCTTCTCTTTCTTTATCCCAGGCATTAATCAGTTTATATCTAGTTTTCTTGCCATAAAACTATTTATTCTTCAGGGGCCTGATCCTTGGCTATTGTAGACTGGCATAGTTCCATTGATGCCAATTTAGGAACAGATCCCCTATGTGTTCTTATTGTTTATCCAACCCTTAATTAGTGGCAATATAAGAATTACACTTAAATATTGTCTTTGTTTGATGTCTAACATCATCATACCATACATACCAGGGATAGTGCTACCGGCTGCGATTTCCAAAGGAGACTAATGGAACTGGGTGCTAACTCCCATTAAAATTCAATGGAAGTTGGGCACCTAACTCCTTTAGACATCATTGAAAATGCCAACCACAGTGTTCTGCAGTGAATTGGATTCATTTTACTGATAAACCATCCAGGTTTCTTTTTTTCCCTTTAATAATAATTTTCTTTTAGATCACAATGAAGAGACTCCAGCTCTTCACATCACGCCACTGAGAAGGAGACCAATGGTCAGACAATTTCAGCAAACCCTCTAGAGTTACTATAATAATTCCTTTGGAAAAAAGGGGCAAACTTGGTTTGTTCTGTGCAATGCTGGCATTTTACTGACAATGGTGCCTTTGCACTTTCGGATTCCAAGCTGCACTAAGAACTTGCTGCTGTGTGAGAAGGCGAACAGCAACTAACAGTTTCTGTATTCGAATCCTCCCTATATACCTATTGAAGGTGGTCCTTTTCTTTCCTGCAGGTGCTTCCTACCCTGCCTCTATCTCTTATTTCCCATCGCAGCAGTGGAATCATTAACATTTTTTGCTGTGTATTTTACAAGCTTATCCAAACTGATTAAAAGATCAAGTGGTCTCTTGTGTGTTTGATAATGCTGTCTTGTGTCTACAGGAGAGGGGTTATGGCACGGTGGCTGCTATAATGAAGTGACATGGAAGGCTGATGAGCAGCACATTGGGTTTATATGTTCACTTTCACTGATTGCACCAGTTATTCCTTTTGTTTTCATTCTTTGTACATAAACTGAAGAATATCAATAGTACAATTAAAGATACATGAAGAGGTCAAACCTTATCCTAAAAAGGGAATTGAGGCAAACATGCTTGCTTATCAGGGAACTTTTTAGATGTTAGCAGAAGTAGGCAGTGAATTTAGAAGCCTGATCTTGCAGTCATGTCTCAGGCAAAACTCTCATTGGTGCCAGTAAAGACTGAAGGATCTATGTTCAAAAATAAAACAAAACAAAAAAACCCAACAATATTTGACAGCCTCTCAGGGAAAGGCTGCAAAGATGCAGCAAAATAATCTTTTCTGTTGTGCATCCAGGCTGCCACAGCTCCCCAGAGATTCTTCAGGGGCCAGCTCATCTAAGTTTCTCTCGCCATTCGTAGGGCATCCTTGACACTGTCTCCTGGCTGTTCCCGGGTCTCCCAGTGCAAAGCTTTATCTTCAGAAAGGTCAGTCATAAAGATAAAAGATATCCAGGACACAGCACAAGCAAGACATTGTGGTACACCATGTGGTGGCATATCTAGTGAAAATTTTTTCACTAGGAGGGTGGTGAAGCACTGGAATGGGTTACCTAGGGAGGTGGTGGAATCTCCTTCCTTAGAGGTTTTTAAG